AGATCTCCAGAGAAGGAGACTCCACAACCTCTCTGGGCAGCCTGTTCCAGTGCTCTGGCACCCTCACTGTTAAGAAATTTTTCCTTAAGTTCCTTAACAGTGAGGGTGACAGAGCCCAAGCTCTGCCCAACCTCAACCCTGAGCCCAACCTTGATCCGGACCCCAACCCTAGAATCATACAATCATAGAATCATAGAGGGTGACATAGGCCCTGCAAGACACAGGAGCGTGGGGCAGGCCTGAACCGGAGACGCACGGGGGATTAACGTTGCCCAACCAGCCCTTCGCCACCCGCTCTGTCTCGTACCCCCGGCTCCCGGGATGGGACCCCGGATAGGGGTTTCCTTGGCGGTGCCAGCGGTGCCAGTGCGGGCAGCGCCAGGCCCGGAGCCGCACGGGCTGCGGGGACGAGGAGCTTCGGCCTCGTCCGCGTTATCCCCTCCTCTGCCGAGGGGATAGCGGGTTCACCCCCCTGCCAGCCACGTGTTGGGCTCCAGACGTGGGGCCCTTCACCCCCGGCAGCGCGCGGGGCCCTACCTGCGTGTTCTGGAAGTAGTGTCTCCACAGGGGCCGGATCTTGTCCTGGCCGCCCACGTCCCACACGGTGAAGCAGATGTTCTTGTACTCCACCGTCTCCACGTTGAAGCCTGCGGGGCGGCACCGTCAGCCCGTGCCCCTTCGAGGGAGCTCCGTGCTCCGGAGCCGAGGGCAGAGCTGCGCGGGGAGATGCTCCCCCGGGAGCGCTCCGGGATTTCACCGGCCAGCCCCGGGAATGTCGCCTCGGAAACCCCAGCAGCCCGGGAGGCTGTTCCAGAAGCGCCGGCACCGCCAGGGCTGGGGGCTCCTCCGGACATGGAGGCGCTCGGGGCATTCCCGGCCGCTCCGGACTGTGTCCAGGCTGGCCCAGCTCCGAGGATGGAGCCTCCTCTCGGGCACCCTGCTCCACCGTTCAACCCCCCTCACCACAAAGAGGTGAGTCCCCGTGTCCCAGCGGAAATTCCCGCGTTTCAAGCCGTGCCCACCACCTCCAGCCCTGTCACTGGGTGCCACCAGGAATCACCTGGCGCATCTTCCGGACACGCTCCCGTAACACGTTAGACACACAAACAGGCCCTGCTCTTGGCCTCCTCTTCCCCAGGCTGGAGGCCCCGCTCCCAGCCTCTCCTCCCGGGGAGCTGCTCCAACCGGAGCCCTTCCCTGCCGCTCCGTGTCCCGCTCCCGCCGGAGCCCTTCCCTGCCGCTCTGTGTCCCG